TGATGGAAGCCCATTATTGTAGCAGGTATGGCGTGATGTAGTGAAGTGGAAATGAGTGGTCCGCAATGGTAGGAACCACTGTCGGTGTCGAACTTGATCGAAAAAGGGGTTATAGCTTTCGATAAGCTGCGTTTTTGGTTGATTTTGGCCATATAAATTTATTGTTTGTTCAATTTGTTTATGTGAATGTGTTTAGGGGTTGATGATAGCTGTTTGTGGTGTGAGCTCCGATGGTTTAGACGATGGATGGATGATGGTTGATGAGATGGAGGCCGGCAATTTTGTGATGGTGGATTTACTTTTGGTAGGGCTATTTGTAATTTTATGAAATATTTAGGAGGAAGATTGTAAATTGTCCTTTTTTTTTTTTTTTGGTTATATTTAAATAGGAAGGTATATTGGATTCTTTATGCTAAAAATCGATTAAAATGACATTTTCTGCAATAAATGTGGAAATAGGGGTGGAAATGCCAAAAAAATGAAGGTAGGAATATTTTGCACTATAACATTGAAAAATAGAGACTTTTTATGCTAATTACCCTTCGTTTGTGAGATCCATGCTGTCAAAATTTGCAGACTGAGATAAAGTAGCTCGATTTCATCAAGACTGCAAATGAACGGCTCTTTTAATTTTTACCTCTAATACCCAATTTTTAATTAGTGGGGCTAATCGAGTTAATCGTTATGCGTCACCAATCTAGGTGACTAGATTGTTCAGTTCGACATGCCTGCCCGTTATGGACCAACCCACAGTCCGTTCCAAGTCGGATTAGAGTAGTTTCGATCCGATTTTTCTATACAGATCCCACAAGAACAAAAGTAGGGTTAAGTTAGACATGTATAAATATAGAATTCATGCATTAATTAGTGCGCTTTGCTGTTTTCCTATTCAAGCCTTTAAGCAACTAGTTTGATTCCCTCTATTCAAATCTGGTTAATATTTGAGTGCAATTCGACCACGCCACAAAAGAAAAATTTCCCATTTGATTATACCTTCAACCATTTGGATAATTTGTCGAGCAAGAAGCCATTGTAAAATATTGTGTTTTTTTTTTGAATTTGATTATGTCTTGAAAGTTTAAACCATTTACGAGGGTCACGTTTGTATTATTTATATCTTATCTTAAACACTCTTCTTCACTTATAGATGAGATTCATTTTTTTAATTTTTTTTTTATTTTATTAAATTTGAACCTTAAAGGTACACAATTTTTAATAAATGGGTGGCGCAAAACTTGAAGTCGTTGGCAACAATCTTCTTGTCATGTCATCGGCAGGTTCTTGAAGATGGAGATCATTAAACACGTCACGTTCCATGAACTTTTGATTGTCTGACTAGGCTTAGTACCATATTTTAATGGATCAGATATGATTCCATTACCAAAACCCATAGGGTTTGTGAAACAATTAATTCAAAAGAAGAATGGAAATTTGTGCGACGAAATTAAGTCGTCAGAAATGTTTGTTGAATTTTACCCTCAACGCATTATCAACACTTCATTTGCACGACCAATCGTCAAAAAAAATAATGATGAAGTTTGCGATACTACTAGGGTTTTGGGCCCTAGCAAATTTATGATTAATTTTGCAACTACTAGAATCTTATTTATAATTCACAAATTTTATCATAAACTTAAACAAAATTATAAAAAGGGAACATTGCAGCAATGGTCCCTAACCTTTTTGTTTTTTACAGATTTTATTTTAACCTTCATTTTGTGCTAGCGAATGTTTCTAACCTTTTATAAATATACACCTGAGATCCTCTAGATGGAAACCGTCTAAAACACCATCAGTTGACTAGAAAATTTTCTTAAACTATTTGCTATCGCGACAATTTTATTGGATGTCAATAACTTTTTGGACGATATTTTGGACTATTTTATTGGATGTTAATTCCTCAATTTTTTCGATTAACTGGCGGTGTTTTGGATGGTTTTCATTCAGATGGACCTCAGGTGCATATTTATGAAAAGTTAGGAACCTCCGCTGGCACAAGATGAAGGTTAGGTAAAGTTTGCAACAAATAAAAATGTAAGGGACCGCTGCTGCAATTTTCTCTTATAATAATTGAACAATACTCGATATATTCTTTTTTTTTTCATCTTCTTTTCTAATAGAGGACTTAACAAGTCATAAGCCCAGATATACTAGATTTCGTTTGACTTGTCTTGGTCGAGGTGTAAAGTAGTTAAGTCTGTTGAGTTTATGACCCAAATTAGGAAAAAATATTTGTTTCCTTATTTTGGCATAAAAAAATTGTTTCCTTATTTTCACGTGATTTTATTGAAAATATATTATTTTCTTATTCCACATTATTTTCATTTTATGGTATCGTATGTCCCTATAAATAGTGACATCTTTTTTCAGTTTAACTCAAGCCAAAATTGTCATGTTGTAATTTTCTCTCCATATCGTCGTTATAATAAAATTTTGTTTCCTCTGCTTAACTCTCTTCGATTTCTTTACTTTAAATCTTGTTTCATGTTTGTGATATTGTTACATATTTCATACAATATCATTAGTCTCAATCTTTACGTTTCCTTTGGGATCAACAAATGGTATTAGACGGGTTTGGTCTTCTGTAGGTCCCGTTGGCCCGATATGTGGGAGGAGACATGTTTTGTCTCCCGTAAAGCCCAATGTATGAGAAGGGAATTGTTGAGGTTGTCCCACATCGATTGTGGATGAGTATGGTATTCAATTTATAAATGTGAGGGAAAGCCTCACCTTTTGAGCTAACTTTTGGATTGAGAGAGACTCAATACCACCCAACACTGGATCAGAGCAATTTTAGTAGCTTGCTTGTTCCCAACAAGTGGTATCAAAGCTAGGTTGCGGGTTCCTTGTGATTTGGTTGGGATTTTTTTAGAGATGGCAACATCGAAATATGATATTCTATTGTTTGATCGCAATACAAGATTTTCGCCATGGCAAATAAAGATAAGGACTGTGTTGTCGCAAATCGATTTAGACGATGCTTTGCTGGGTTTTGATAAGATACGAGGAAATTTGACAACGGAGGAGAAACAACGGAAAGATAATAAGGCTTTTATTGCAGATTATCTCCATCTTTCCAATAACATTATGTAGGATGTGTTGAAGGAGAAAATGACGGCTTCTTTGTGGTTGAAACTGGAGCAGTTGTGCATGACTAAAAGTTTTATGAGCAAATTGCATCTAAAGCAGAGGATGTATTCCCATCACATGACAGATGGAACATCGCTAGAAGATAATCTGGTTGTGTTCAATGAAATAGTTGCAAATTTAAAGACATTGGAGATTAAGTACGATGAGGAGGATCTGACCTTTATCCTATTATGCTCGCTGCCCCACCTCTTATTCATCGTTTCAGGATACCATTTTGTACAGTCGTGATACTTTGACCATTGAGGATGTCTACGATGCTCTGTTCTCAAAGGAAAAGATGAAGCATTTGGTTGGAGTTACGTTTAGGGATAAGGAACGCTCTTGTATCTCATGGTGATCGACGGAGAGACAGATTGAAAGTCAACTTCAGCAATTTGTATTACTTCTATTGCAGGAGGAATGGACACGCTAAAAAGGATTGCGATAAGTTGTGGGCTAAAGGTAACTTTGTTGCAAATCATGGGAGGCAATTGGGTCATTCAGACAAGACCAATATTGCCAAGGATTTTTCAGATGGTGGAGATGTGGTGTTGACCGCATCTGATATGGAATCTAAGCCATACTAGGAGTGGTTTTAGATTTAGCGTGCTCGTTTCATCCCAATCGGGACTTGTTTAAGTCATATAAGGCAGTTAAGCAGTGTGAAGTTGTCATGAGAAACAACCAATTTTGTCAGGTTACTGGAATCGATCGGGTCAGATTGAGATTGCAGGATAGGATAGTCAGAATACTTGGCTAGGTTAGACATGTTCCAGACTTGAAGAATAATCTCATCCGCTGAGTACTTTGGATTCAAAGGGATATAAGTTCTCGGGTGGAGGTAGAGTCTTAAAGGTCTGAAGGGGTATTCGGGTTGTATTGGAAGGACGAAAAAGCCTCAGTTGTACATCTTGCAAGGTCGTGCAGAACCAGTTAAGAGACATCTAGATAGATTTGGTACCGTGGTGGATATTCAATTTGGTACATTACCTCTTGTGATTGGCTCTAGGTTGGTTCAAAACACTACTAAGAAAAGCGTTGGTGATTCCGCTTTTCTACCAACTTCAGTAGATACACTGTGGTCAAATGCTAGGATTGGATCCATTGAGCGTATGTACAGTGTTGGAGATGTCAAGAATACTTTTGGGGTCTTCGAAGGTGACAATTCTAGTAAAGAGCCTTCTGATCAAGCATTGTGTGTGGTTTCTGCTACAGGGTGTGCTTTGACCTTGTTTGAACAATTTTAATTCCTAGTTGGAATTTTGGAAATCCTAGAGTAGGTTTCGGGTGTCACTTGTGGACACCAGGCAGAGGATGATGTTTTTCGTGAGGTGAAGAGTTTTGGTTACTATTTGAGGAGCTAGGTTTTTCGATGCAGTCGAACATATTTTTCTAGGTGGAAAAATTTTGGAGCTTCGTTCGTTGCACCAAAATTTGGGTCAAGATAGAGATTGTTGAGTTTATGACCCAAATTAGGAAAAAAATTATTTCCTTATTTTCACGTGATTTTATTAAAAATATATTATTTTCTTATTCCGCATTATTTCCATCTTTATGGTATGGTATATACATATAAATAATAGCATATTCTTTCGGTTTAGTTCAAGCTAAAATTATTTTGTTATAATTTTTTCTCCATGTCGTCGTTATAATAGAACATCGTTTCCTATGCTTAACTCTTTTTGATTTCTTTACTTTAAATCTTGTTTCATCTTTATGATCTTGTTACATATTTCATACAACGTCAGTAGTCTCAATCCTTGCGTCGCCTTTGGGATCAACAAAGTCGTATTGAGTTTGGATAGTTTAACCTACTTTTCATGGTCTAGGTGTGAAGTAGTCAAGTTGTACTGAGTTTAGACAGTTTGACCCATTTTTTCCATTACGTGACAAGAAAACCATGCGTAGAGTACTCATGTCATGCTAAATAGTGACAACTCAACCTATTTTTTCTGGTTAGGTGACAAGAAAAGCAGGTGTAGAGTAGTCTGGCTGCATTAAGTCTGATTGTTTCGATCCATTATCTTGTTAATTGACAAGAAAACTAGGTGTAGAATAGTTAGACCGCACTACTTTTGGATAACTCGGCCCACTTTTGACCCTCATGGAAAGAAAATAAGGTGTAGAGTAGTCAGGTCACACTGAGTTTGTACAGTTCAATCACTTTTATCTCATATGACAAGTCACGTCACATTGAATTGGACAATTTGAAGATAATATGCTCTCGAAATAGCACATTTTCGAAAAATATATCATTTTGAATTCATATTTATCCCTAAAAGAAAACATTAACTAATGTCAAATGACATTAATTAGTTTGACTACTTGAATGATATATGATTATATAATGTTTAATCATATTCTTCGAAATTAAATAATTGAATTATATCTTATATTGAATCAGAAGTTTAATTTAATTTATTATTTGGCATGACCATTTGGACCATAACTGGATCAATAATGATGCAAAATTAAAAATTCAAAATGAATATTAAATGAAGAACCAAAAGATTCTTCAATCCAATGAATACCTAATTTCATTTGTTCTCTTTATCGATAATTGATTATTAAATATCACTAGCTAAAATAGAAATTGAAATCCCTATATTTCTAAAAACTAATTGGGGTGATGTATGGGGCCTAG